ACGCAGCAGCCCTATAAAGTGGATTATGAGAGGCCCTTCCATCTTTTTAATGCCTCTGCTGTTGTTTGGGGACATTTTTAATGTGAACGCTATAAAGCGAGAGAGGTTGAAATGGGGAGAAGAGTGAAGGGTGAATCAACCAACAGCTAAACCCCAAAGCAACTGGAGCATGGCCCACACAGCCTTTTACACAGTTCAGTAGTGAGGAGACACTTCCTGTATTTCTCATCCTGACATATTCTGCTGCGGGGACGTCTACTAGCAAACGTTGTTTTTCTACTTTTGTTTTTGCGTAAAAGTTGCTTTTTTCCCAAATGTGCCCGACGGACACCAACGCTGTCTTCACTTCTCTTCTTCTCTGTCCTCTGTGGAACTGAAAGTGGTGCCCTTTTCTTTAACTTTGTGCACTTCCACCCCAGAAAGTGATCTTAAAGTTGTGACAACAGAAAGCAAAAACATGTAAGAGACGGAAAATAAGCACAGCATTTCCCCTTTATAAGAAGACGCAGAGGAATGGCTTATGTGGATGGTGATCATGAGGAACCCCAAAGGAAGTGGACAAAGCTATCAGGAATTAATCTGCATAGCCTGTCAGACTGCATAGATCGCTACATCTTTCTTGCAGAGCGCCAGAGCTGGCTTTAAGAGGATTATTACCACACGGTCATCTGTGTCCTAATGCAAGATGCCAAAAGTTCACATGCAAGGGTCCTTCACTTGTCCAATAGGACGTGACCCTGTTTTTTTTTTACTGGTATTCCCAGAATGACAGCTTGACTGAGACAACGCTAATCTACAGCTCCCCAAAATTTCTGTTCACCCCAGATTAGGCTGCAGTCGGTATGCCCCCCAAACTGCCCCATTGCTGGCTGAGAAGGGGGCATCTCCGGGTGCACGCAGGGGGGTGGCTGGAGTTGACACACATCGGGGTTTACTTACTTACCAAGAAGCAAATAACGTTAAGTGCTGAGTGTCTGCCTCCCATATCCTCATATTCTCTGAAGAAACGCTTAATCCCCTCTTTATGATAAGCTGTCCAGGAGCTTGGACTGTCTGATGTGGGTCTGCGCAGAGACCAACACAGGGATTTAAGGTTCCAAAGCCACCTCAAATTAAATTAAACGTGGTGGCCTTCTAAATCTCAGAGCTCCTATATGCACTCTAAAAAGCAAATGGTATATGAATAAAAGTGGCTGCAGCTTCCAAAGGCCAGACACAAGTGACCCAACCGGAGCATCGTAACTCATCCAGCTCCGCTCCAATCTGGTACGGTCCAATCTCAACCTCATTTCCCTGCACACTGCTATTCTGAAATGCAGTAAGGGCACCATCGGCCTTATTGGGACACCCTCAAATATCTCAGACGCTCCTCATTTCTGCTGTGTCTGCTTCACAGACGGTCGTAAAAACAAGCACAGGCTTCTGAAGGAGCATTCCCGGTCAGGCTGAACAGCTGAGCCCTGAAGTCAGCTCACTGCATGTAGCTGACTTGACTTTCTTTACACATGGATTTGGACCATGAGTGTGTCTGAAACAGATCCCTTTCTCTTTGCCAATTCCACAACATATAAATATGGACTGCCTGCAGCCCTCTGATGATCCAGAGTTGAACATGAATTGAATTATGAATTAAATGCCTTTTAAAAGAGGTAGAAGGAGCCGTTTAAGGGATGGTGAAGTGGAAATGTATTAATTTGCTTACATTACACTACATCTCATTTACTAAAGGTGACTCCCTGTTGTGAATTTGAAGGATGACACAATCGATATTAAATTTGTTTTTCACTCATTCTACTGAGATCTAAAACATCTCCAATATGCAGCTCAAGCCTCAAACAGTTAGCCGTTCCTCCTCACACACTGGTGGCATTAAATATTCAAGTCTTGTAAAAGACATATTGGCTGAGCGTCTATAAAATCCAGAGCTAAACAATCTCATAAAAATGAAACAGTCGTTGCGACTTCTCTCTTCTTTTGTGGTTCTCACCATCATCTTGGAGAAGTCAAACGTTGAAATCATAAACTTAAGTTTGTATGTGGAGGGTTTTTTGTTTTTTATGAACGTGTGTGTGGCTTCACCTCTGACACTGGGGATCAACAGAAAGATCCAAGTCTTTGATGCTGCCGCTGGGCGTTGGTTGGTGCAATTTTCCCATCATTGTTGTGGAGCAGAATAGCCCCGGTGTCTAGAATGGTCACCCTCTGTCTCTGTGACAATGCTTTAGTGATCCACACACACTACAGTAATGGCTGTTGGTACAAAGACCTTTTGACGTGGGGGGGGGGGGGGGGGGGGGGGGGGGGGGGGGGGGGGGGGGGGACAGCATCGCTCGTGCTCAGTCTGCATTCTGTGTCCACTTCCCTCTGACTGCCTGCCACTGCAGCAGCCGGCCCCTCCCCTAACTACTCCCCTCTCTCATTCAGCCCCTCTTGAAATGGTGGGGAGAGTCTTTTCTACTGTGTGTGTGTGTGTGTGTGCTTTCTGTGTGCGTGCACTCATGCTAGCTTAATTGACATTAAGATCTATGAGTTTTGGGTACCTGCTGCTGTAGAAAGAGAACAAGGAAGCTGGAGAAGCGGAAAAGCAGAGGGATTAGAAAGGAGACGAGGAGACAGAGAGCTAACGAGAGATCGGCTGCGAGGTGGTGGAAATGGAAAGCAGACAAATTGATACTTAATTCCACTTAAAACGATGCAATAAACTCATCTTAAATGACATCAGGAAAAGACAAGATTTAAGATTAATGTCCCATTTTTACAATCAGCAGAATCTCTAACATAGCTCACAAAGCAGGAGAGGAGAGAACAGCTTGGAGAGAGAAGACAGGCAGAATGGCAGATCAGCTCATGCTCTATGTATTAGTTGTTGGATGCACATGGTTGCTGGTCCTCTTTCCGCGAGGGGTCAGCCGCATATGCCGGCAATGCATAATGCAAAACGGCCCGGCAGCGTGCAGGTGGCAGGGACTGGAAGGGATAGGGACCCCTCTGCACCGCATGCACTGAGCACAGCATCTCCCCACGAGGGTTAGCCCGGGCTGCTGCAACCACCCTCCCCAACAGCCATCATCCTGCCCTCCCTTCCTCCTCCCTGTTTCCACTTTTCTCCTCATCTCCCTTCAGTTTCCCCGTCCTCCTGCCAAGTTAACGGCTTCGCGGGGGGGATTTTCTGCCGTGCAACTCGTGAGGTATAAAGGGCAGAGACGAATAGTGGCGGGATCACGATGGAGAGGACGGAGGAGAATAGAGGGTTTTGTGCGAGCCCCTTAATGAGGGGTTTTCCTCTGATCAAAGCACGAGGAGGGGCAAGGAGACAGGAGTACAAATTGCTAAACCATAGAGGGAGCCTGATGCATCCGAGACTGAGGATGGGGACGTGGCTTCTCGAGCTATCTGCTGTGACCGAGTGGTGCTTGAAGATTGCTGAGATTAGATATGCCCCCCCCCCCCCTCATCAACACATTCTTGGCTGTAGGTCGAGCAGCTAAACCCTCCCCGCCGTAACGATCGCTCAGGTGCCCAAGGGTGTGTAGCGTGACTCTTTACAGACCGGACCTGAAGCCCTCAGGATGATGAGCCGCAGGCATGTGGCTACTTAGAGTGTACACATTGTTCTGTTTGGATTAGCCACTCCTTCTTTCTGCCAGGGGCTGCAGAGCGAAATTCCACCATTAATTCCCCCCTGATTTATCAAATTCAGAAATCTTGATGCCAGATATGCTTTGCTATAGATAATGGGTGAAGAGGTAAAAAAATAAATAAAAAAATGAATTTCAAGTAGACTTCTGTTGTGTGACTATGTCATGTATAAAATAATGAATAGAAACGTGCACTTTAGCCAGGAAGGGATCTCTTTGTAGAGAAGAGTCTACTCTCGCCCAACACGCTTCCCTCCATTCTCCATGCTGCAGCATTATTGTTAACCCATTCAGTGCCACAGTCCGATGTCCAAGGCTTGATATAGGCTACAACCAAATATTGGTAAAACTGAGATGAGGATAAAATGTTAACCTGGATTTATGTGACACATTTTAATGCGCGCAGAGTCGTTGGTTATAACAATAAGTTGCATAGTTCATTGCTTTGCGAGGAATCCATAATAATCAACTAAAATCAAATACATTTCTGGTGTGAGTCTACAAACTGGACTATTTTAGTAATGTGATTCTGCCTTTTTCTTGCAATATTTTAACAGAAAAAACATTTTGCCCTGCAAAAACTCTACATCATCTGACTGAGCTCTGCTCTTGACTTTAAAACATATATAATTGGTCATCTTAGTAACAAATCAATTAATCGATCAAGTCCATATTTTGGCTCATACAAATGACCTTTTCACATTTTACCAACCTCTAAGACACAAAGCTTGATTTCCATCCGCACACGGTGTTCAGTTTTAATAAATCATGTCGTGGACCTCAGCTATAGTGAGGAAATGCGGACACTTGAGTGGGAAGACCACATGGCCTCATCACAGCGAACTGCCGCACAAAACACGCGCTATTAGATGATGGACGAAAGGAACTAATGACCGTCTCTCTCTCTCTCTCTCTCGTCTGACAGATGAGTACACACACACACACACACACAAACACAATGCGAAAGCATGCAGTCAGGTCCGTGGATGGAGAGATGATCGCCTTAATTGATCGATCTGCAATAATTCCAGCAGCCCCGTGTACACACATTACTGTCCTGCATTTTCTCGAGATGATATCGCAGAGATGCGTTTCATTTAACCACAGCACGCACAGTCTACCACCATTGAATCATTAACAGCGTTGTGGTTTTAGCAGTCAGTGCGCTGCGCTCCGCCAAAGCCCCATTGTTCCGCTGAGGTGTGCTGGCTGCTCTACCAGACTGGAGCGCCTCACAGGCAATTAGCGCATGTACAATCACCCCAGCGGATACTTGAGAGCTGCTCTGCGGTGTTTGCTGGAACCCCTCAGATAAAAAAACAAAACAAAGCTCTAACAGAAAGGGAGAAGTCAGTCACTTACCGGCTACAGTGTATCTATCCATGTAATTGAGGACGTTCCCAAAACTGAGGATCCCGGCCGCGGCGGCCGGTGAGTGGCATCTGAGCAGCGCGGCGCGGAATTTCTGCCCCGGTTTGCACGGGTGAAGGTCCGGGTTGGATTTCAGCGCGGGACTCATGCTGCCCGACAGCGTGTGCACCTCGTCTGAACTGCTGCAGCCTTCAATCTCGCATCCATCGCTCTCCACACACATTTTCTGGCACGAATGATCCAGCGCAGAAGAGAGGGAGAGAGAGAGAGTAAGAGAACGGAGAGGAGACTAGTTGAAGAAGGACCAAGCGCAGCGATGGTCTGTGATTTCTGTTGGAATTATTCTCAGTGGAGTTGTTGTCTTAAGTGTTGAAACGCAGGAGTCGCTCTTCTCGGGATCATATTTGTCTAGCAGTGTGCGGTGACGGACGGGCTGTGCGCTCCTTAGGATTCTTTTTCTTTTTTTTCTGAGGAGAGTAGCCTACATAGCGCTGTAGTATAGGGGGTGTGACCCGGCTTGACAAACTCCGCCCCCTCCCGAAGCCCCGCAGCGAATGATGGAGCCGCACCTGATACTGTGGTGCAGATGCCGGGGAATTGCAACCGGAGAGTAGTGCGGTTGGAAAAACCTTTCAGTTATTTAAGGCAGCGGACGGTGGTGTGAAACGGGTGGGTGGGTGTGACTTCATTTGTCTATATATTTATTTTATTTATTTATTTGATATGCATCTTTCACATTTATTAGGGAGCAATATGGCTGCTGACTGAGTGCAAATTACAGAATAATTATAGGCGCTTCTGATAGAAGTCACAAAGGTATGTTTCACAGACACATTTAAAGATAAAAGGTAGCTCCCTCTTGGTCTGCTCATATTTTTAGTAAAAGGTGTCAAATAGATCAGGATTTATTTGTGTATTTTTGTATATATTTTGTTCTCTACCTCCAAAAGAATTTGTATTTAGTTTAGGTCCCCATAGCTTGTCACATCCACGTCTGTTTAGCGGTTTGTGATCAGCATCCGTGGAACTTTTTCATTGAAGAATAAGTAAAGTCAGTTTAATTTATAGAGCAGATTTAAAAACAACAAATGTTGACCAGCGTGCTTTACAGACTGATTGAATTATTCAATCGATGATGACAATCAAATAAAAACACAGACACAATTATAATGATCAATCAGTGAATTTATAAAAGTGTAGAATATAGAATACTCTATAAAATCATAACAACAAAGTGGGAAAAAAATGGAGGAGAAAATCTAATTGTGAGTGACAAACTATAGGCACTCAACAACAGGGATAAAGCAGTCTGAATTTGTAAGAGGCGAGATAAGAAGAAATAAAAGCGTTAATTGTTCTCCACAAATCCTTAACAGACAGGAAGGATTTTGCAAGTGATCTAATCTGGTGCTGACAGCGGAGTTGATTTGTTGATGAAATGTTAAACCAGCATCAAAGACAACAAAGAGATTACTCAGTTTAAATTCAATGGCAGACACCCACGAGTGTTGATTGTGCTGTCAGAGTAGATTAATTGGAGATTAAAGGGTCAGTTTACCCTAAAATCAAAGGCACATGTTTCCCCTCTTACCTGTAGTGCTGTTTATCAGTCTATATTGTTTTGGTGTGAGTGGCCTACTTTTGGAGATATCAGCCATCTCTCCAATATAATAAAGTTACGCGGCACATGGCTTTAGGTGCTCCAATCACTTCTTCTGAACAATTACATAAAAAAGGAAACCTTTTTGTCATTGTTTTTATGTTCACGTCTGACAAATGTTTCACCACTGCAACAGTATTTCTGGTGTCTTATAAGTCCAACTAACTAATTAAATATGTGTATTAAACCTTTTTTATTGTGGGATGAGTTAAAGCAACATCCTTGCGTATTAGGCTGTATTGATTACTGTAGAAAGGAAACAACCAGATTGCTTTTATGAGTTAATAAGAGGTGAACAGGAACTGCTGTTAAGGTGTGTGGAAATTAAATAAAGACAACCCCACATTCTGGGCTTTCCCACCACACACATTCAGCTCTGACAGAAGGGCCATGTGTCATTGAACAGTTACCGGCCACTGAAGCTTTCACGTTATTTCATTGTTGGATGCAACGTGTCATGTGTTCTCTTTGAATGTAGAACCCCAGGAGTAGTACTCCAATGGGGAATCCACTACACAATACACAATCAACATACCAGTAACAACTAGCCTCTCTGAGGTCTAAGCTGTACCTGTGCACTGTATACATGGAATTAAGAATGTGTCCATACTCATGTCGCTCCATTGTTCAATCAAGCAGAAATGAAGCAGAAATTCCACCTATTACTACAAGTCTGGGCAAACAATTTTTCTGTGACTGCGTCTGTCTGAGCCCGAGCTGCTCATCAATCTCAATCTCCTCTGCTGGGTTCTGCACTGCACGTATTTAGAAGATGTTCACACAAAAGACAACAGCGGTAGTCTAAACGGTCCCTGGAGGATGCTGACGTTATTTTTCACTCACCAGCACAAGCAAACCTATTAGAGCAAAGACTTTTCACTCTGACACAAATGTCCCCTCGTCTGCTCTGATTGAGTTTCGCACCAAAACGTTTTCTTGACAAATTATTTGCGGCTGAAATATGAAAACACTTAACATAAAAAAAGTAAATGTTTTGTGTGCGAGCACCGAACTTGGCTGTTTTATAAGTTACATTTACTGGTAAACAACCAGTTCATCACAACAAGCTGTTCGGGGCACAGCGGTGAGACGGAACGAAGCAGTCACGCTGGATGAATCCTGCTATTGGACATGCTCGTCTGAGGCATTCCTGGTGGTTATACAGAACAACTCTAGAGGGGGGTATCATCTGGTTCTGTTAAGGAAAGATGAACACAATGCAACTGGCTCAGTTCTGACAGTTTCTGCTGTTTCTGTACTCATCTGACAGCCAGCAGTGTCCCCAACTTCATTACAGTCTGTGGCAGAGAAGTCATAGAAAGCCTTTGTTCTCCCATACAGTTTGGATATAACTCCCTTTGTTGATTCTACTGGGAGACAGTTTTTAACTAATTACAATGATGGTTTAAATGCCACTGAGGGAGGTGACAATGCTCATTGTGTTGTGCACATGAAATATTGATGGGTCTTCACACCTCAGCGACTCTTCATTGGGAATGAGGAGAATGAGATTTTTTTCTGAATGGCTGGGACAGGTCCAATCTTGCATGCAGTTGAGTGTTTCTGGGCCATCTGTGTTCTGTCAGATAGGAGCCAAACATCTCCAGCTAATTGTTAGACTATTCCATAGTGTATTTTGACTTTGCCAAGACAGGAATCCCAAATCGTCCTCAACTACCATATCGCCGAAAAGACGAGAGCGTATAGGGAATTTTGTAACTGCGAACCAAGACTTACTGGAAGGAGTTTGAACAGAAAAGGTGTAAGTGTTGATTTAGCACGAGTGCGGAGGTCAGTGTGCGAGTGAACGGTGGGCGTGCTGAGGGGGCATTCCTGACAAGTGCAGTTTGATTTCGCTAAAAAGCCAGAGGGGACATCAGCCAAGAGGCTCTTCTTCCAGATGAACTGGGTTGCCTGTTATTGGCCGTGTAAGTTTTACATCGCGTACTTCAACAAAAGCATTCAGCCTAATCACCTGAAAGTGAAATTCGGCCAGTCTTTTCGTCAGTATGTAAATCAGTGAAAGGCTAAACAAAATCTGGAAAGGAGGTAGCAGATGAAGAAGAATCCTGGCATCCGTTTGGGAGACGGCTGGGCTCTTGTCTGGCTCTGCTCTGCAGGCCTTTGGCATTGCAATGGTATCATTTCGCATAAACTGACCTGCATTGTCTTATTTAGACTGAACATTTCTGCCAGCGAAACCCAAAGCCCCCCTCATGGCGTTTGTTTTGCAACAGCAGTTTCAAAGCAATCATCCACTTGTTTCCCAATAACTTTGATGTCTGCAAATCCCCCTTCGGTTTTGAATCTGGAAAGTATGATGCAAACAGTGCAGCCTGGCAGGCTCGGCAGAGAGCGATCAAGCGATACTGACAAGAATATGCTTTTATAGTGCACATATAGTATAGTATAGTACACTGATATCCAGGAAAAGAGGATGCAGGAAAAGAGACGAGGGCCAAACCAACCAGTGGTCTCACGCGGAGGGCTTAGGAGGGAGCCCCAGTAAACAGTTGTTCCTGTCCCCCTCTCTGGAGCCCCCACCTCCCCCTCCTCATTCTTTGGGATGTGTTTGATATGCTGCTCATGTCTGTGGGATCCTGTGTGTTTTTCCATCTTGCAGAATGGCTCGGTGGACCGGGGGACCTATCTCTCGCGTTTTTCTGCTATGTGGCCTGGAGCCACCGAGTCACTGCCCCTGCCTTCCTTCCTGTACCAGCTCAGGGCCGAGCCTCCAGTGCAGGATGGGAGATAACCTGCTAATCGCTGCGCCCAGCGGCTGCAGGACGATAAGACCGACTCCTTTTGCCTTCCAACACGTGGCTGCCAATAAAGTTTAAATGTCCCGAGTGAAACATGTGTCTACCAGCTGTGTGCATATCAGCTGTGCTTCTGGTAAACACGTCTCCACCTCTTTAAGATCACAGAGTTCACAATGAAATAAAATCGTATTTTACGCTGCAATAAACTAGATTGCAGTATATTGTTTTTAACTAGTAAATATGCAGGTTTAATGGAGTGCTGTATCTGATTCTTTTCAGGTCAGTTATGGGTCAAGTCAAGGTTGATGAACTTGTCCATGCAGTTAGATGCGTGTAAAACTCTTTATGTTTTGGGGATTTATCATTATTTTGTGAATGCAGATGACTTCGTGTTCCTCCTTGCGCTTCTGGTCTTCATCAAAATGTTCAGAATGTGTAATTGATAGTGATCGTTTTCATCTGGTTGCTGCTGTCTTTAATGTGTGTAAATATCTATTTTATTCTCTATCTTTTCACTTTTGCCTCTGTGAACTATCGCTCTGGAAATAAATGTAGATTGAAATAAATAAACAAAATTTTGCACAATTAAAGCAATCAAGACATTTTTCAAATACAGTAATCAGTCTGTAATACTCCTATTGTCGTCTCGATCGGCCGCATGTAAATGTGCACATTTCCCCTTCCTGTACCAAGTGTCCCTGAGAACACCATGTACGATAAAGACCCAGAAAGAGAGAATGAACCGGCCTCCATGACGTTTGACCAGACTGAGGAAAAAACAAGCAGCTGTGCATTTGTGTTGTTCAAACATTCTTCTCAATGGAGATGAGATGTTTTAATGGAGAACATTTTTGACATCTGACATCCGTCTCCTTTGCAAGAAAATGTCCTCTTATTTGGAAGCATCTCTTTCACCATATACTTTGGTGTTGTATGTAACTCATCCTCTTAAATCACACTGTATATCCAGTTGTCTGGCCACTTTTCAGTTCAACACACTGACTCACACATTATTAAATATTCTGCAATTGTTCTATTCTTGTGAGAGAAATGAACTCGTTCTATTCCTGTTTGACCCATGTCGCCAATTCATACAATCGGTAGAAATGGCTATGATCACGCAATGAAGCGTCTAACTGGATTCATTTCACACAGGCCAGTGAGTAGAAGGGACTGTGGGA